GTTATGAAAAAATGATTCATGTTTTTTCTTGTTTTTTTTTTTTTTTTTTTTGATATATTCTACTGAGGATGTAGTTTGTCAGAATGAGGAATGGGGCTGCATGGAAGGGGGAGGGGGCAGTGTGTAGAAATGATACCTAGTCTCACCATTACTCCTGTGTGTGTCTCAGAGTCATCAATTGTTTTATATTGACAGTGCATCTGTGCAAATACAACGTAAGAAAGCACATAAATATAACCTGGAACACACACATGCAGTAGACTTATCTCCCCCCGGTACAGTGAAGGGTAGCTGCAGGGCAGGAGATTACAACGTTTACAATAGAAGGAAGTAGAATTACTAATTGAATAATAAAAAACTCATTTAAGGACATTATAAATAGAAATAATTTTAACTGCAGCAACTGAAAAGCAATTATAAACATGGACGTTTCCAATTTACAATTTTCACTACTTCACGACACTATGCTGAATGTCCAAACCAAACAACGAGAAAACAGAAAGTACAGTTAAAATAGTGAAAGAAAAACTGTTTCGTCCTGAAAGGGCTACAGTAGGTAGAGTACGTACCTATCACAGACACAGCTTGTCCTCAAAGACTATGAATGCGATTTTATCATCTATTGTTTTGGTCTTCTCTCTGTATTTGGTGGTCTTCTTCTTACACTTTTCCAGTCCCTGGTGAATAGAAACATCCACACTCTGTTTCTGGTTTTTAGCGTCCATCCACTTTTTTTTTTTTTTTTTTACCTCCTCTCAAAATTTTGACTGAGCACATAAAGAGAATTGCAAATGTGGTGTTGTCCTTCGACATAGTAAGACAACTACAGACTGTGAAGACATCCTGCTTTGCGCCAGTCTGCTGTTTTTAGCTTATATGGTTTGTCTGCTTACTGTCCATATTTCTTAAGCATTAATGACAAGTTTATGTTATTTAACAAAAAATGTAGTGCCTCTTGATTAAGCGGGGAAACCAATCATAATTACGACGACTTAAAATGATTACTGATGGACTCTAAACACATTGTATTTATTGCACATGATGAGAACAACAAATGTTCTATTTTATCACATTTGTTCCTTTACACCTTCCTCCAGATGAATTTTCCATAAACAACTAAAAGTGATTTATCCAAATTGCAAGAACAATAAAAACTAGTCAGTGCACTTCCATAATCTTGTAATAAGAAATAAATTACTGAATAATAAAAAAAAAAAATCAATGCATAAAGTAACATAGAGAATACCGTATGTAGTGCCAGTACCATTACTTTACAGTGGGAACGCAAACATGAAGTGAAAGTTAATTTTGCTGCGCAGCCCAATACTATGTTAAGTGCCAGTGAGAAAACGGCAATCAAGTTATCTATCTATCTATACATATACAGTATCTATCTATCATTAAATACATCATTAAATAATTCATAAATTAAATGTTGGCATTTTCAGTCAATTTTTAATTTTTAATTGTTGTTCCAATGGCCCCCCCCCGCCACACAAGGCTTAACCCTTCGATGCATGACCCATGATATACTGAGTTAAAAAAAATGTTACGAAGTGTTTTTAGACATAAAAATAAGAACTGATTTGGTTCTGTTTTTATACACCAAATTTCCTTTTTGAATGTTGACACAATTATTCTGCAGTTGCAAAGGCTGACCACTGTATGACAGTGTTGGGTGATTCTCAGGCGTCCACTGTAGAGGCTTATATGCAACACTGCCATCAAAACCTATTCTTATCCTATCATAGAAAATGCCATTTTCATAGCTGTCCACTGTAGTGACCGTCATGCATGAAAGGGTTAACTAAAAACCTGTTTGAAAACACACACCTTTTTTTTACTTCCTACATAAAAAAGGCTACTAACTAAACTCCTTCCCATTGGTGTTCAAAACAACATCACTTTGACAAATATTATAGTATACGGAATACTCAATGGTGGTTACTGCAGCTACCCCCATCTCTTGCATGGCCGCTGCTCTTGCATGGCTCACTGTTATCCTACATGTTCATGTGTTTTTAAAATGATCTATTGGGCTGTGTGTTTTTTTTTTTTTTTTTTTTTTTCATTTTTTTATAACGAATTACAAAAGACGTTTATGCTCTTGTACGGCCAAAATATTTTTTATCTTTTTTTTGGGCTGTGTTTTTTTTTTTTTTTTTTTTTATTTCATATTTTTATAACGAACTATATAAGACGTTTATGCTCTAGTACTGCCAAATAGCTTTGATTACATTAATGTACGAGTTTAAAAAAAAAAAAAAAAAAACCTGTAGAATAATATTTTTTGTTAAAAATCACCAATAATATTTTAATAATTATAGTTGGGTGCTTACAAACCGCACTGTATTGCCCTGTTGTTCCGAGATCGGTATCTTTAAAACAAAAGTGTACAATATGAATATTTAGCACATTCCAACAATGCACGTATTGCATTGTTGGAATGTGCTAAATAAATATTTAATTTTGTATTTGTTTTGTTCTTTGTACATTAATATTGATTCATGCAGTTGCAGTGCCTTGATTTTATTGAGGTTTAGTACACATCATCCGTCATAGCCATAAATGCGATAGTAATAATAATTATTGAAGTAGTTTTGGTTGTCGGCCTTGGTTTCATCATTTTTGGTTTTTGGTTTCGGCCAACAATTTCCCAAAAATCAAATTCTTTTTATCATTTTACAAGAGTACACTTGTAATATTTTCTGGATATTATTGATTTATTGGATTGCAATTTTGTCATATTTACACTACTTTGCCTGTGGTTGACTGAGTTCTGTGCATGCTTTTTTCTTATCTGTAAACAAAGCTGTCTTCTTCACTGTGATGTTATCCATCGCAGTGTTGACACCGGAGGTGCGGACTCGAGTCGCATGACTTGGACTCGAGTCATCAATTTGATGACTTTAGACTCGACTTGACAAAAATGTCAAGAGACTTGCAACTCGACTTGGACTTTAACATCGATGACTCGTGACTTCACTTGGACTCGGGCCCTTTGACTCGACAAGACTTGATCTTTTCTCCAAAACCCAAAGTGATCTGTGTAAATATATTATTATTTTATTTAAAAGGACTCGAAACAGAAACGGCAGGACTTGGGACTTGACTTGACGCTTTTCAGTGTTGACTTGGACTCCACTCGGACTTTGCCTGTCTGGACTTGAGACTTGACTCGGACTTGAGTGCAAAGACTTGAGACTTACTTGTGACTTGCAAAGCAACGACTCGGTCCCACCTTTGGTTGACACACAAAAAAAAAGATGTTAGTTGTTGTGAGCAACGCTACTCTGCTTGTGCTCAAAATGGTCTGCCGTCCTTTTTCTCTTTGCTCTCTCTCTCTCTCTCTTTTTTCTTTCTTTCTCGCACTCTCTCGCTCTCCTTTGCCCTCTCTCCGTTTCTTTGTCTCTCTTTGTGTCTCTCCTCTGCGTCTCACGTGATGATGCCCAGGTCTCACCTTGCCCACGGATGCCGCTCAACCCACAACAGCCCAGTGCATTCAGCCTGCAATTCCCAGAGATTGACGCAGAACTTCTCTGTTTCTGTTCCCACGCTCATCTTCACTGGTATGCGAGAGTCAGGCGAAGTTTCAGATAGAAGGGCAGAGTGGAATTCTGAGACCAGCAACAGCAAAAACGAGTTAATATGGATTTAGGAAGAGGCGTATATATATATATATATCTCTAAAATAAAAGACTAGTTATCTTTACAGCCAGGTCTTTGAATTAAAGCAGTAGTGTTTAATAGGGATTAAGACAAAAAAAAAAAGACCTGTCTTTTAATGAGTAGCCCCTTCTCCAGATACGAACAAGATGCATCACCATTCTTAAATGGCTATTTTCGCCATTAAAAATCGATGTGTCTGGAGCCGTCAGCAAGCCTGCCATCTCCCCAGAGTCCTGTTCCCGTTGCTTTGCTCATGGTTCACCGTTTTGTTTCTCCTGTGTTTGGTTTGGCTCACTGTATTAGCATGTGTGTGTGTTTTTTGTTTTTTTTTTTTTGTTAACATTTTCCAGCTTTTTTTTTTTTTTTCCTGCCATGCTTTGTTTTTTCCGTTTCTGGCCACCTGTAGCACCTTTAACTGACCTCACCAGGGAAAAAAAAAACCAAGCACAAATTGAATCATCACTGATCCACTCCCACATATATGTGAACACTCGAACGCTCCAAGAGTGAGGTTGGCGACTGATGTGGGTGTGTATCTGTGTGTATGTCATGTTTTCCTGGCAGGACGGTATTTGGTGAGGAGGTGCCCTTGTTCTCCGTCCCACCCACCCCTTTCAGAGCCCTTCCCTCCTCCTCTCCTCCCCCCTTCACTCCCTCCAAGCCATGCAGCCGCCAGTCATCATCCTCAGACACTGACCTCAGTTTGACGCCCAAGACAGGTAAGAACACCAGCCATCCCCATTCATGTCATTCTCCCTTTTCATCATGTTGTTTTTGGTGCTACTACGGTGGTTGGTTGTTTGTGTTTCACGTGTATCCATTGCGTGAGTAAATCATATTTTGCTGTGCCCTGTCCTCCCAATCATCCTTATTAGTGTTTTTTTTTTGGTTTTTTTTTTATGACATTCATAAAAGAAACTTCATATTCTTTCGACGCTCGTAGCATTTTCACTGTTGCTGTTGTTGCTACATTGAAGCAATGCAGTATGTCCAACAGTGGGATGGTGTTAATCTAATGTCCAATCACTAAATGCTGTCATAGTCATTCTTCGAAGAGAGGGTAAACGTTCTCGAACTTCAACCTAAGGCATCAGAACAGATTTTACGCAAACTTTTTTTTAGTTTTTCAAAACATTCTAAAGCTAAAGCTTGCCTTCTAACCTACTTTACTGCTTTTTTTTTCTCCCCCTCATACCTTTTTTTCCATTTTTATTGCATCAAATAAACAGATTTGTGTTGACAAGACAACACAGTAAAACTACAGTGAGCCGAAGGATGATAAGGAACCCTATAATACATCCTTAAACCATGTCCCGCGTGTCGTGTTTGCGTGTGTTTGGAGCCTTCTGACGTTAAATAAAAGCTACGCACAGTTGATGGCGACTAATGTGAATACTAGATTTTAAATTAAGCAAGATTTTTCCATTCATTTCTTCATCATTTATCTACAGAGTATTCCTTTGCAAGGATGCTCGAGCAAATCTAAGCTGTCAATGGATGAGGGAAGGGTACTCCCCAGACCAGGGGTGTCAAACTCATTTTCACCGGGGGGGCCACCCTTGAAGGGCCGGTTGTAAATGGAAGACTGTATAGATCAAGAGTCCCCAACCCCTGGTCTGCGGACCAGTACCGGTCCATAGGTCTTTGGTACTGGGCTGCAGTGGGACAAAATGTACTTAAGTTTTTTACTAATTTACTTTATTCAAAGAAAATCCAGTCATATCCATTTACTTTCTTTACTTAAAGATAATCTGGCAATATTTTAAATTAATGTCATAAAATCGTTCAGACTCACCCCATTTGGCCCCCCCAGGCCTTGAGGTTGACACTTATGTCTTAGACTCTTCGTAAAAAATCGTAAAAAAAAAAGGTTACAGGAACAGTTGATGGTAAAGCTGAAATGATAAAAAAAAAATATATAAAAAATATGTCGATATCATTGCAAATCTGTCGTCCTTTTCTTCTTCCCTTCTTCCCTCCTTACCAGGAGTCAATGTCATACTGTATTCCTTCTAACTCTCCATTGACTTCCTTTTGTGTTTTGCCCTGTCTCTTCCATCTATGATCTGTTTTTTTACGTGTTTTGTTTTGTTTTGTTTTTTTCCACACCATCCATTCTCTCTAAATCCCCTGTTAGAGAAGCCCCTGCAAGTGAGACATAGGCCTGGCATCTACTTCTGCCCCAGCTCCCCCACCCTCCCCACAGACACTCTATCCTTTGCTGGTTCTGATGCAGTAGTCTGTGGTCATGGCTCCGGCCACAGAATCACCAACCCGCCCCTATCTCCTATCTCCTACAATCAATCAGACTCTGCTCTGCTGAGAAAGAGCGTGTCCTTCAATGAGGACCTGCTGCTGGCAGCCTCTGGTATAGTAGGACAGATTTGTGTGATCGAGTTAAAAAAAATCCCTATAACCGTGTCTTAACATCATTTTCGCTTGTGTGTGTGTGTGTGTGTGTTAGAATCTGACTCCATTATACTCCAAATCATAAGCCAGAACTAGCAAATATAACAGGCATGACCCGTCCAGCATGTGGTTTGCTGTTGTTGTTTTTAAGTTGTAGTTAGCCTTTACTGGACTGACGAAATAAGTATGACATTTGTAAGTCTCGAGTTGAGGTAGGTCTGAGGTCCGTTACCTTTTACTGAAACATACGAAAACTACGAAACTATTGTGTGTTTTTGTGGGATGTTTGGGTTATATCATACCATAATCATTGCAAAGTAATACATGTTTCTTGTTTTTATATATATAATTTTGATGTAATGTTTTAAAAAAAAAACTACAGCAAGATTTTTCTTTTTAATTAGGTATGGGCAGTGGGGGCAGTGCGGGAAAGGAGGCAGGACCTCTGAAGATGCTTCTTCGACAACAGACGCAGACAGCTCTGGAACAGAGGGTATGTTGACATGTGCATGCTTATTGGGAAAATATTTATGTTTACAGATTAAACAAGCAAAAAAAAAAAAAAAAAAACACCGTCTGATATGAAATGATCCCAAGAATTTTACTGCTCTACCGTGACGTTTATTTGCGAAATGTTGACTTGGTTTTTGTGACACCAAAAAAAAAAATCAGAGGAGGCCAAGCTGCTTGTAGTAACCAGCGAATGTGCTGAATTAAATAAACGTGACTTTATCTTAATTTATTTAAATTAATTCGTCTATATAGAGCAGCTGAATTTTTAAAGCTCTTGCTGTTTTGTGTAAATGCTGTGCTACTTTATAAGCTGTATGTTTTATTTTTAGTGATTACATATTATTGCAAAGCAAATTTAATGACTTTAACTATGTTATCACAACCTGGCAGCATCAACTCTACTTTTTAAGACTTAAAGTCATCTGGAGTTGCGCAATCCATATTACCAGAAAACAATATAAAAAAAATAAGGCATAACTCTTTCTCTTTGGCGTCTTTGCACAGAAACATCGGTTATTAGTAGGGATGGCTCGATGTAACCATTTCATGCGGCGGTGGTGACTTAAGTGGTTAAGGAAGCAAACTTGGTTTCCGGAAGACTTTAGATTTGAGTCCACCTGCTGTCTCACAACGACAAGTAGTTCACTTTCCCTTTCCTTCATGTCCAATACCAGTATTGCAACTTGGAGTTGCCGATATCAATCCGATCAAACCCCAGGCGGTTAGGTGAGTCAGTCCAAACAACATTATTTAAGAAACACTTGGCCATCACCGAAGGGTTCGGTGAATGCGCATATGAAACTGATGGGGTTCAGTACCTCCAACAAGGTTAAGAACCACTGCTCTAGCCTACCGCGGGCTGCCATCGCTGCGGATAGCGTCCAAAACTAAGTAGAGCATTTGGTCTCAGGTATCAGATTGAAAGGGTTGTCATTGTTTTTTTCCAATGTCCGATACCGGAGTTTTGACCAATAAGGGACCTATACTGATTAGTACCAACTTGAGCCATCCTTAGTTATTGTTTAAACAGAAGTAAGCCACCAAAGACACTTTATTTTCCCTGAATGTTAAATACTTATTATGTTGTCTCTCGTCAGGAATTTCCATTCTTCACCTTGACATCTTTCCCAGCTGGGTTTCTAGTCCATGCTGGCGGAGTGGTCAGTGCTCGCTCTGTCAAACTTCTAGACCGGATACATAACCCTGGTGAGTTTATGCACACAAACACTGAACACTTACTTTTTAGTTTTTGTTTAGCTACAAAAGTGTCCAATGTATTTAATGCTGCTTGTCATCCTCCTCTCTTGTGTTACGTCATTTTTCTGTGTTTAAACATAGATAATCTCTTCCTTTTTTTTTTAATGGATTGCATGCAGATAATTTGTGGTGATGGCACTGTGATGGTTTGCTTCTTTTTTTTTCTTTGGCGGTTCGCTTCTGACGAAATCGTATCTTTTCTTAAATAACGCTGTTTGGATCGTTTTAGTTTAGCGGATGCTTGATGAGATGCCGAGTTCAGTCAAGAGCCTAAGTCATTTTGTCTTAGCGTTGCTAAGTGGCCTTTAATTATCGGAATTGAGAATGGCCGATGCAGATCTAGTTGCTCTTGCAAGAAGATTTGACGTTTTTCAGTTCTCCCTGGTTTTTAGGAGGATAGTTTGAATCTCAATTTCGAAACGTTAAAATTCATTGAGACACATGTGTGTTTTTTGTGAATTTGGGCAATGCAAATAAAATTGACTTTGACTTGGTCATTCTGTATGGAGTTTGCATGTTTTTCCCCCATGTGTTTGTGGGCTCCAGCCACGTATGCCATTTATGCCATTTCCTAGCCATTAGGCTAACTGGACACTCAAAATTAAACATTGGTATTATTGTAAGTGTGAATGATCGTAATTGTCTATCAGGGGATACCCCGGGATAAACTGGCAAATCAGTTTAGGTTGTACCCTGCCTTTCCCTCATTGACTACTGGGATTGGAGTAAGCTACAACACAACTCAAAAACGAGTAAATGGTAGACCATGACTTTCGAGTGCGTTAGCTAGCAGTCTTTTCAGATTTGGACAAGGTAGCCAACACATTAGCTGCCAAATAATATTTACTATTCAAATATGCCAAAAAAAAATTTAAAAAAAATAAATCAAAAAAATATATTTTTATAATATTTTTATAATATAAAAAAATAACAAATAAATCGGAAAAAATATTTATATTTTTACCGCAGTGGTTCTCAACTGGTCAACTTCCGGACATACCATTACCCCGTAATAACAAGCCATGGCCAAGAATCAAGGGCAATTTTCAATGTCTCAGATGAATGACTGAAAAAGTTGATGCCGTTTGAACCTGACATAAGATATCACAGTGTGCTTTGAGCATGATGAATTAAGCTGTTTCTGTGATGTCCTCAGGGTCATTCAGCTGTATTCTGAAGTACTACTGAAGTATACACCTGCACAAACACCCTGAGGTTTTTGCCCTCCTTTGTCCTCAATATAGGGAAATTAGGGGTTCAGATGCGGCCTGTTCAACTCTTTAATCTGTCCCTCCAAACCTTTCCGAATTATATTTTTATTTAAATTATCATTATACTTCTGCCTTTTCCCTGCAGTACCCACATTTCCCCAATAGATGGCGTAGAAAATTGCTAAAAAGCATTTTTAGCCTTTACTCATGACTTTTACATCTTAATTCACACAGACGCTCCATCTATCTGCTCCTGACCCGACCCTGACCCGGTTCAATTTTAGGACAGCTGTGGCCCCGCGAGTCGAAACGTTTCCCCATGCCTGGGTTACACCATACTCACTTAGGGCTTAAATGATAAATGTTAAATATTAGGTGTCAACTTGCAAAACGTGTTTTATCATCACCCTTTGTTAAGGAATGTGAATAGGGGAGTTTTTTTTTTTTTTTTTTTTTTCCTCTGTAAGCTAGTCTGCAACCCACTTTTGGGTTGTGCCATACCAATTGAGAATCACTGTTTTAAGGCAAGTTTCAATGTCAATTTTACTGACATTCGATAGTGGACAACAACAACAACAATTTACCTGCAACAGATATTTTCTCATAAAAAATACCTGTCTTTATTGTACCATTATTTCAGTGAATAATATGTATCTCCAAAAGTCTAGATATATATTTTATATTTTATCTGATTTGTTATCAAACTCAAAATAGTATTCTCATGAAAGAAATATCCCTGAAAGCAGCAAAAAAAAAAAACCTATCAGAGCCCACTGCAGATACGAGGTGATGACACATGCGTATTTATCACCTCGTGTTGTTGCCCTAGTTGGCGACAGTGTAAGATAATTGTGCCAAAGAGGAAGTCATAGGCACTGCCTTTTTTTTTTATACCACTTCATGGAACCGTTCACACAGCTGTTATTTGCGCTTAGCTCTCTAGCTATTTGGCTTTTTAACCTCAACCAATAACCATGACATGATAAAGGCATAAAAGCTCCACATGAAGGACATTTACGAAATATAAAGTACTTTTTCATGCAAATTTAGAAAAAAAAAAAGAAAAAAAAACCCTGAATATTTTCCTTTAATTCTTTACATTGTATATAAGCAGATTATCATCTTTCCCCTATTTTTTTTTTTTTTTTAGCCTTTTCTTTTAATATTGTTTGAGCAGGGCCAGTTGGTGTTTGCACTGTGACTGTGACGTGTTGTGGGTCTCCTGTGTCATGACTGTGAAGTGCTGCTGTTGTGTTTTGCTTTTTTGTTAGACTCTCTTTTTTTTTTTCTTTTTCTTTTTCTCTCTTGTCTGTACTAACGGTGTGTTTTGGCCCAGCCTTGGGTAACATGCGCTCATACAAACTGCTAGACTGGAATAGTATCACTGCAGGTATTTTTTCCCCCCTCTTACTGCTCTTAAACATTGGACTGATGGCAGCTCAATGAAGTGTAACTTTTTTTTTTTTTTTTTTTTTAAATGCACTCATAGCCTGACCTGAAATCAGCACAGATCAGCTCACACAAAGAAAAGCCAAATTCACTGAGCTACCATTTTCCTCCCTCTTAACTGTGTGAATGTATGCTGCGCTTGAGTTAAGCATGTGCCGTGTGCCCTTACACCATTCAGTCTGAGATGGCGGTGACCCCCCCACCCGGCTCATCTCATTGCACCGAAAACTGCATCTTCTTCCTAATGTTCTACAGGCCGCTTTTGAATGCCTTCTAAGTAAACATTTTGTGGTCAAATCTGCTGAGACCAGAGAAAGTTTAGAAGGTTTACTCCATGGCGAGAGCCACCTTACCGATCGGGCATGTGCACCCTTAACCCACTGGGCCGTATTCATACTGTGACATAGTGCAGGAGGGAAGGAGAGAGTTGTAAGGATGGGTGGTAATGGTTGGGAAAAAATGGTTGAGGACAAGGCTGTACTTGGGTTGGAGGAAGAATAATATTACTACTTATATGTTTAAAACTAGAATCGATTTGAGGGACTCTGGGAAATGAATATGGCCCTCTTCTGCCCATGAGTGTGTATGTATGTACACTATATGACCAAAAGTATTGGCTCACCTGCCTTGACTCCTACTATGAACTGAAGTGCCATCCCATTCCTAACCCAGAGTTCAATATGATGTCGGTCCACCTTTTGCAGCTATTACAGCTTCAACTCTTCTGGGAAGACTGTCCACAAGGTTGAGGAGAGTGTTTATAGGAATTTTTGACCATTCTTCCAAAAGCGCATTGGTGAGGTCACACACTGATGTTGGTCGAGAAGGCCTGGCTCTCAGTCTCCGCTCTAATTCATCCCAAAGGTGTTCTATCGGGTTCAGGTCAGGACTCTGTGCAGGCCAGTCAAGTTCATCCACACCAGACTCTGTCATCCATGTCTTTATGGACCTTGCTTTGTGCACTGGTGCACAGTCATGTTGGAAGAGGAAGGGGCCCGCTCCAAACTGTTCCCACAAGGTTGGGAGCATGGAATTGTCCAAAATGTTTTGGTATCCTGAAGCATTCAAAGTTCCTTTCACTGGAACTAAGGGGCCAAGCCCAGCTCCTGAAAAACAACCCCACACCATAATTCCTCCTCCACCAAATTTCACAGTCGGCACAATGCAGTCTGAAATGTACCGTTCTCCTGGCAACCTCCAAACCCAGACTCGTCCATCAGATTGCCAGATGGAAAAGCGTGATTCATCACTCCAGAGAACGCGTCTCCACTGCTCTAGAGGCCAGTGGCGGCGTGCTTTACACCATTGCATCCGACACTTTGCATTGCACTTGGTGATGTGTGGCTTGGCTGCAGCTGCTCGGCCATGGAAACCCAGGAGTGTGCACGTTGGTAAGCTTGTGCTTGCGTCGAAATGTTGCTTCTTATGCCAAGGAACCCGTCTTGTGGGCCCTGATGCTTTAACTGTCAGTTATACACATCATCGCTGTAGTTTCCTCCATCGATTATTTTTGCTCTTTATTATTGATCCGTTTTCCTTTTTCTTTGTCTCTCTATCCGTGTCTTTCTTCCTGGCCTTTTGTTGTCCATCAGCATGTCATGGCATCAGTAATCCTGCAGTTTAGCTCAACGCCTCCCGTTTCCTTCACATTATCAGTGATCTTTAAACAATAAGATGAACCAAAAAAATTTTGAGAGAAAAGCCCGTTCGGTTAAACCCACTTGTTATTGTAAGAGATCGGCCTCTTTGAATTTAGTCAACCGTAGTCAACAAATGCTTTGAAGAAGCCTTTTGATTAACCAGACATGGTTGAAAACATGCAGGAAACCTTTTGTTTTGTCCACGTGTCAATACGCGTATATACTGTATTTCTTCTCATTTTCTTAAAAATGCCTTAATTTGAATGCCTTAAAATTATAACTTGCACTAATCTTTGTAACCATTACTTTTCTTCAAAAACATTAGTATGTGCCTTTACTATACACCTTACACCCGTTACTCTGCTTTTGGTGGCACCTACAGAAAAGGAAACAGAGAAAGGAGAGACAATGACTTTTTTCAAATATTGTATGTGAAGGAAAGTCGCGTAATGTCGCAATATACCTTAGACCAGTGGTTCTCAAACGTTTTAATACTCGGTACCACCTGAGAAAACATTGAGCTCTCTTGAGTACCACCATGATGACCAACGTTAGAATACAGCAACGCAGGACTTCCCTGTTAGCTTCCAACCTCACAGGAGAGATGTTTATAAAGATGTTTATGTTGAAATGTTGTACTAATTGTGCATGGTATGGTATGTTTCGGATTTATTTCGATTGAAAAACGTAAATGTGAAAATATCAATTTTCCTCGCGTACCACTAGAGAGCGCTGGCGTACCACTGGTGGTATGTGTACCACAGTTTGAGAACCACTGCCTTAGACATTTTCAATATTGCCTTTGCTGTCATCGTCCTGAACCAATCATATGTCATTCTATTGCCCTTTTTGCTTTTTCAGAATTATAATTTTTTTTTTTTTTTTTTTTGCTTGCTCTGATATATATATATTCTTTCCAGTAATAATTTAATGCATCAACGACAAGAAAAGTGCTAACTGCTTTGGTGTCTTTTTTTAATTTTTTTATTGAATTAATCAGATGAGGAAAGAAAAACATCAAACCTCTTTATGCCACATTAGGGCAGATATTGTGACGGATTAAAGAGTCCGTTTAAAATGAAATTGGTGGCAAATTTTAAAGGTAGTTGTCTTAGATGCGGTCAATGTGGAAGAGACATGGGAAATCTGTTTGATTCATGAGTTTTGTGTTTTTCCCAGATGAGCCCGAAACGCGCGACGCCTGGTGGGAGGAAATTCGCCAAGAGATCAAATCACATGCCAAAGCTCTTGGCTGCCACGCTGTTGTCGGGTACAGTGAGAGCACGAGTATCTGGTGTGTAATAAATGTGTCTACTGAATCTAATACTTTCAGATACTGTTTGTTTTTTTAGTCAAATGTTCGCTTTATTTTTTTCTATATATATATATTGTTCGTATCTACTCTCATCAAATCTACTTTTGTCTCATTTTATCTGATCTTCTCTTCTCTTCTCTTCTTGTTCTCATCTCACCAACTCTCATCTCGCCTACTCACGTCTACCCTCTATTTCATCAACTCTCACCTTATGATGTTTCATTTAATCTCATCTACTCGAATATCCTAACGCATTTTGTATTTTATGATTACACAGAAAAGCTGTTTTCCATTGTCTTTGGTCACAGTTCCATTTGTTTTTGGTTTCCTCTCCTTTGTCTCTGCTCACAGTTTTGCGGTTTGTTGTAAAGATGTAACGTTAGTCATAGTTATATTACAGCACAAAGTTAGGATTCTAACAGCCTAATCTGACGCAAAGGCCGATGTATTGTGTAAACTCATCTTTTATGTACAAGTTGGTGCCGTGTCTGTTGTAAATGTTTTTTGTTTTTTTTCCTTTCCTGTCATCTATTCAGTGAGGAGGTCTGTATCCTCTCGGCATCGGGCACAGCCGCCATCTTGAATCCTCGGTACATGCGAGAAGGCTGCCTTGACTTTGGAAACACTGATCACAGGTCAGTCAGTTTATGATGCCAATATGAATTTTAAACATAAGGGCTACACAGGATAAGAATACATTTGGTTAAAGTACAGAAATGAATAAGGGTTAGGAAGGAAGATTTGTTTTTGGGTAGGATTTTTTTTTTTTTTTTCAAAATGCACAGGAAACAGTTGATATTTCAAGTATTCCGTGCATTCTGAAATAAACTTCCTCATCGGGAAAAAAACACTGTCCTCTCTTTTTTTTTTTTTTTTTTTTTTTTTCTATTGGCGGCATTAAAATATTTCCATATATAAGAACAGTCTTCTGTGTGATAATTGGCAGACAGTCAATTAATGTATATTACAGTTTTGCATGCGTATGCCCAACCCCTTATTATTATTATTATTATTATAATGCACCTAATTTAAATTACATTTGTTACATAGACCTTGCATTCACTTTTGTAAGCAGGTCGATCCCCTTTTTGTCCTCTTTTAGAGTTCTATCTGTGCAACTTAAAAACATATATTTAAGAGTTGTACCAATTGTAAACTTTGCCATTGGGCAATTAAGTCAAGCTCCAGGTTATATTACAGTTGAAGTTTCTGTACCCCATTTTCGTCATTTTCTTCTCATCCTTTGGCTGGGTTTGTGACTGCCCCATTTTCTGAACTTTAAGTCATTTTCTTCTCATACTTTGGCTGGGTTTGTGACTTATGCTCAGGTGCGACTTATATATTAAAATATATATCTGCTGCTTCTGTATGTCGCACTTATGCATTTTTTTTTATTTTTTTTTGCTGATGCGACTTATACTCCAGAATATATGGTAGGTTCATGCCGGGTAGGACTATAAAATCTTCTATAATTCTTTGTTTGCCAGGTTTGAAGATCCATCTCCCCGAAGCTGTGGATTCTGCCACATCCCATACGATGAGCTTAACATGCCATTTCCTGCTCAGCTCACGTTGTGTCAACACTGCAGACAACAAAAGGTTTTTTAAATATAACAGTTACTGACATTAATGAGAGGAAGTGCGGCGTCTGCACCTGCAATTTAAAAGGTTACCTTCAGAACCGTCGAGTCATCTGTAGAATTTTCAAGTTCAAATTAAGAATTGACCATCCCAATTGATTTTTTGTGAGATTTCATTTAATTTGCTAAAATTTAAACAATTCTACTTCGCGAATTCACTACAATCAAGCCGTCTGCAAGTTTTGGTAGGGACTGCATGCCAAAAAAAAACATGGTAATGCAGAGTGGAGCTGGAGCGGACAACTAACGTCGCCCGCAGATCGCAATTGTGACGAGACCCAATCGCTGCTAGTTTCAGTGCTTTACAACAGCGAATCGTTGTCACTGGCTCGACTCACATTCTTTCTAATTTAAACTTATTATTATTATTATTAGCAATTTATGAATTTATTTATTTTTGATTTCATTGGCTAGTGGTCATTAGTGCAATTCATAATGTCATTTTGCGTCATTTCTCTCCATATTACATTTGTTCCTTGATTCTTTTTTTTTTTTTTTCATTTTGTTTTATTTGATGAATAAATTCAAATTGAAAAAACATTTGGTTAAAAAAAAAAAAATTAATTAATAACATTGGCTGTGCTTTTTTTTTTTCCTGCAAAGGTCCCTGATGTGCTATTCACAACAATTGACTTGCCACCTGAAGCAGCTGTCACTGGGAAGGGGTGCTTTGTACAGGCCAGGTAAAAAAAATTCAGTCATTATTATGACCCCAAATACTTTAGCAGTGCTTCTCAAAATATGGGGCGAGCCCCCAAAAGTGCCCGCTTGAATGTCACTGCTTTGAAGTGACAAGAAACAAATTACGTGAGGCCGTTCTTATAAGAAACAGTTTAGTTTGAAAATCTTATCCGGGCTCTACTTTATTTGGTATGTTGTAATTGGTCCAAAATTTTTGGACCAAATTTTTAACCTAACTGCTTATCTGAAATGATCTTATACTTGAAATTTTTCTTACACAATCAGAATTTTGTTTTTAACGTTTCGAATCATCTTCTAGATGCATTTGACTTTTGCTGGAAATTATGTTTCAGCATAATTTTTTTTTTCTAAATCCATGAACAGTTACAAAATATTGACTTCAGGACATTCCTGATTAAAATCTATTTTTAGTGAATCAAACCATTTCTTTTTCTTGTCTTGCAGGCTGTGTCGACTGAAAAAAAAAGCCCAGGGCGAAGTGAACGCGACCGCCATCTCTAACCTGCTGCCTTTCATGGAATATGAGTTGCACACGCAGCTGATGAACAAACTGAAGTTGCACAGCATGAATGCTCTCTTTGGTCTACACATACAAATTAGTGTTGGCGAGAATATGCTCCTGGGCCTGGCTGTATGTATTCTGAGGTTTTGCCGCATTCTTTAGCGTACACGTTAATCTTTTCCTTTGTAAATTTTTGTCTTTTTGTTCGTTGTTTGTTTTAGTCGGCCACCGGAGTATATCTGACTGCACTTCCAGCACCAGGGGGAATTCAGATTGCTGGGAAAGCGCCTATTGATCTAAGCAATGAGCATCACATCTTTACCATCCAGAAAAGGATCAATGACACCATAGCCAAGAACAAAGAGCTTTACCAGATCAATCCTCCGGTGAGATTGCCTACAGGCAGTTTTTGTTTTGTTTTTTTACCCTGGAGTTTGATAAGTTTGACAACTAAAGATGATATTTATTTATATGTGCAACTATAGAAGGTAACAAGTTAAAAATCACAAAAATGATATCGCTAGTAACATTTTGTGTCATTGGAAAAAAAAAAAAAAAAATTCATTCCAAATTTTAAAAGCAAAAAAATTTTTTTCAGTTGTGTCTGTATCTGTGTCTGAAAACAACATCTTTAGGCTTTGCGCACAAACAATTAAGAGCATTTTCCAATTTAACCCGATACTCTGCTTCTGCTACTCAAAAAAAGGTATAATTGACTTTGAAAGTTATTAGTAATTGCAGACCTAATTTGTGGCAGAGTACTGATTTATTTTTCCACTTTTATACCTTTACGAGATAACCTTGCACAGATGGAATCAGAGGTGTTTATTAAATTGTTTTTGATTTTGCCAAATAGTCAGAAACCTATTAAAATAAAAAAAACTTTATTAATTCCAACATGGAAAAAAAAAATCATTGTCGTATTAGAAATCTGGGTCAAAGTTGCAGTAAGTGTAATCAAAAAAAATGTTAACATGAAAAGTAGAACAAAAATAATGAAAAAAAAAGGACACAACAACACATTGAAATATATCAAATTGGAACCAGTAAGATTCAAGAGTATCGTTATTTATTTGAAATATTACCGAAATAATCAAGTATATATATATATAAATATTTAAAATAAATATTAAATTATGTTTCATCATAAAAAAAATATCTATCCTTTTGATACATTTACCCATCCTGTTTTTCTCTTCTGATTAAAGAAGGTCTTTGTTCTGGACCCTGACGTGTTTGGCTCCATAAACATGGTACTGAGCTCGGCCACTTACTGCTATGATATCACACAGCAACGCTTGAAAAATATCTCACTCTAATAATCTTTAGGTGACAATGACAATACTGTTACACCAACTTAACCATAAACTATTAACAAGGAATGTGAAGGATTGGTAAGGTGTGTTAGAACTTACATATAATGGAATATTTGGCAGTACCATAGAAGTACTTTACTACAGTACACTTTGTACCCTAACTTTCTTTGCCACTTGGAATGCCAGGAGTATATTTGTATTTTATAATTCTGTTTTTTATATCTGTGTGCGTGCATTCACACCACTAATTTCTTTTCGTTGAAACTTTACTAACCTTAGCCTTGCCTGTGAGTGCAGTCATTTCTCAGCGAGTTTGGGCAACACAACTTGAAACTGTACTTGTATTTGCCTTTGTTTTGAGGTTTAAATATTGAAACTTGCAAATTTGTTCCTACTTGTAAGTCTTAATTTTTGATTTTTTTTTTTTTTTTTTTTTTAAACTAAATATGTACATGAAAACTATTACTACCGTACCGTACAGGAGTGGGCAGTTTCTCGAATGATTTTCCATTTTCCTTATCTCCTATGTTTCTGATTCTCAGGAACTGACAGAGGAAGTGATTGGTTCTCCAATTCCAGAGCCGAGGCAGAGGTCCAGACTGTTTCGCTCACACTCGGAGAGCTCCGATGAATTGTCAGAACTGGATCTCTCCCATGGCAAGAAGGATGCCTTTGTCCTGGAGGTGACCATCTTCTCTTTTTTTTTTTTTTTTTTTTTTAACCTAGCCATTCCACTTTGGGCAGTGGTGGCGTAGTGGTTAAGGAAGCGGACTTGTGTCCGGAAGGTTTCAGGTTCAAGTCCACAAAATCCAGGCTTGAAAAAAAAAATACTGACTTTTATTTCATTGGTTTTTACCTGAGTGCACTGTCAAATATTTTCACAGCTTGATGACACAGATGCTCTGGAGGACATCCACTCTCTCCTCACCGATGCCCCTCCACCCAATGGTATGTACAATAGTTTGTAGAGATTTATAGTTATCTACTCTATATGATCCTTTTTTTTTTTTTTTTTTTATCTTGTACTTCATTCCAATAGATGTCTGCCTTCGCATTTCTGCCTTAGGTTTCTTTAGTTGCAACACTGAGATTATGCCGGGGATCTACAAGTGGACTTCAGCCGTGCAGGTATTACGCATACTCCATAAACTTGATTACTTCTCAAATTATAGTAAACATATTTTATGTCATACAAAGTATAAATGTTGCCAAAAATGTTGCTGTTGATTTAGTTTTTGCTTCTTGATTCCGTTATTGTCTTGCAGATGTTTACGTCAGTGCGGGTCTTCAGGTTGAGTAATGTCAATCTTACTAACCAGGGCCTCAACAAGATTTTCACTGACCTGTGTGAAGATCTGCTCAAGGTAATCTACCTATTATTGATTGAACACAAGCTGAGAGTTTGCGTGGCAAAGGAAACGTAGTGTATGCTTAAGTTATGATATGGCGCCGTGCTTCGTGTACAAAGTGATTGCCTATTTTTGTGTCTGTTTCAGAGTTTTTACTTTAAGTTGAGGTCTTTGATCCCTTGCTGCCTTTGTCATCTGAACTTTACCGTAGCAGTGCCAGAAGAGGAACTTATACAGGTGAAACGTTTTTTAAAAAAACAACTTCTTTCTGTAAAACTGCTGACCGTGCAGAACATTTAGTTAGAGTTTCCTGATGTGTATCAATTTGACCCACAGGTAGCGGTGACAGCGGTTGCCATGTCTTATGACAAAGAACAGACACACGAGAAGCCAGTTGACAAGCTTATCATCAGAGGTTTGTCACCGTTTCTCAGTTTCTTTCTGCTATGTGTCTTCATTGCTTAGTTGACTATATCGCTATATTGGGTTAGCGGTGTGTCCTGTACGCAAGATAGTTGTAAGATGCACACCCGTTGTGAGGATGCTGGGTGTGTAGAAAATGCATCCTCTGGGAACAAGTCTTTCTTTTATAAATATATGGAAGATGGCGACGTAAAACCACAAAACGTTGTAGGTCACGGACATTGCAAACCCAAGACCCACTGTGTATTTACCGAACATCCTGTTACAAACAGTTCGGGACAAACATTCATACCTTTACAGCCCTAATATATATATATATATATA